TGGCAACCCTATTGGCAGTAGTGGCCAAGACTAATGAGAGGTTTGTGCCCCTGTAACTAAAATTTCACAAGTTGACTCTCTTCAACAAAAAGATTTAGCACACGGCAACATATGGGTTAGCATTCTGAAGATAAGATGGCATGTGACGTTTACACTGATTTGTACTAATGCATGCAATACTGCATTCTAACAAATAGTTATTCCAAGTGACCAGATGTTGGTTGCAAACATGTTTCAAAAACATTTTGTTAATATACTTTAAAAGGCAAAAAACCCCAGAAAATAAGTAAAACTTACTGGCTCGGTAAGTGTGCTGTCTTTTTCTAAAAACTGAACTACACAGTACGCCAGCTGAATTGAGGAGGAAAAAAAAGGAACATTATTAGGTTAAATAAAAAACAACCCTATAGAAGTCAAGCAAATTTTGTTGCTGTTGAACGCGTACGCTACTGTGCATGAAGAGGTTAGAACTTGTGCATGAACTTAAAGGGCAAAGACCACAAAATCCCAGCAAGACTTAAAAGTTCCAATTACAGTCTCAAAACAGTCGATCCATGAAACTAAATCTCAGCCTAACCATGAAAACTGGGACTTTCACATGAAGCTACCTTCTACAGACCTCTTTCATAATCAGCATCATCTACTCTAACTGGCAGCAGCTCTTCAGGATCTCAGGTAGAGGCCCTTCACATCATCTACTACTCGATCCTTATACCTGGAGACCCTGTGCATGCAAAGCACGTACTCTGAACATGACCCTCCTTCTCCTCTTGCACATTCATTTAATAAATATTTCTGCACAAGGCAATTGTTCATACATTTTGACAGAACTTTAACAGCACTGATAAAACCATGATTTATCTGCACATTCTTCATTTTGCACACATGAGATATGTCTTATTACTGAGAAATACTACTACATACTTAAACTTTACATACTTTTTTCTTAGACAAAAAACCTTAAGACTTCTTGGGCTGAATCCTACCATTTGCTGGCACTGGTACAGTCCTTTGAACAAGGGAAGCTTCTTGGTTTGGTCGAAAACTCCTTGTGCTGGTTTTAACATTTCAGCATCACAAAACTGACCAGTGAGCCCCAACCCACAGAGTTCAAAGGAACAGAATGAATCCTCTAGTCCAGATCAAAAGCACACTGATGTATATGGGGTATTTGTCAAGTCTGAGTCCCCTGCCCCCAAGTAACAGATAATTCTATTGTATTTCTACCTTTTTCAGCTGTATTAAATCAAAGCCATGGATATGCATTACTGTTTCTCTTTCACAGGTATACAAATGCTAAGGGGACCAGTTTGTAGTCACCTCAAAAACCAGCTGCAAAATGGGGAACAGGGATCAACTTTCACCAGAAAAGAGCAAGAGTCCAGTAGCACCTTAAAGACTAACAAAATTTGTGGCAGGGAAGGAGCTTTTGTGAGTCACTGCTCACTTCTTCAGATATCTCCAGGAATCTGAAGAAGTGAGCAGCGACTTATGAAAGATCATACCCTGCCACAAACTTGGTTAGTCTTTTAAGGTGCTACTTGGACTCTCGCTCATTTCTACTGCTACAGGCTAACATGGCTACCCATCTTCAATTTTCACCATTCTTCTAATTTGAAAGTCACCTCTATTCCATTCTGTATCAAATTAATGCTTATTACTGTTTTTATAAATCAGTGTCTTTAATGGGGAAGTCACCTTAGAGTCCCAATTTAAGCAGGCTGTCTTCATGCTGACAACCAAATAGCAGACAACCATTCAACATCACAGTAATCCAAGTCTATGCCCCAACCACTGATGCAGAAGAGGCTGAAGTGGACTGTTTCTATGAAGACCTACAACACCTCCTAGAACTAACACCAAAAAATGATGTCCTCATCATCATAGGGGACTGGAATGCTAAAGTAGGAAGTAAAAAGGTAACCGGAATAACAGACAAGTTTGGCCTTGGAAAGCAAAATGAAGCAGGGCAAAGGTTAACAGAGTTTTGTCAAGAGAACACACTGGTCACAGCAAACACCCTTTTCCAACAACCTAAGAGGCGACTCTACACATGGACATCACCAGATGGGCAACACCGAAATCAGATTGACTATATAATTTGCAGTCAAAGATGGAGAAGCTCTATCCAGTCAGTAAAAACAAGACCTGGAGCTGACTGTGGCTCAGATCATGAGCTACTCATTGCAAAATTCAGACTTAAACTGAAGAAAATTGGGAAAACCACTAGGCCATTCAGGTTTGACCTAGATCGCATCCCTGATGAATATACAGTAGAGGTGAAGAATAGATTCAAGGGTCTGGATTTGATAGATAGAGTGCCTGAAGAACTATGGACGGAGGTTCGTGACATTGTACAGGAGGCAGCAATCACCACCATACCAAAGAAAAAGAAATGCAAGAAAGCAAAATGGCTTTCTGATGAGGCTTTACAAATAGCAGAGGAAAGAAGGAAAGCGAAAGGCAAAGGCGAAAAGGAAAGATTTACCCAACTGAACGCAGATTTCCAGAGAACAGCAAGGAGAGATAAGGAGGCCTTCCTGAATGAACAGTGCAAAGTAATAGAAGAAAACAATAGAATGGGAAGGACTAGAGATCTCTTCAAGAAAATTGGAGAAATCAAGGGAGCGTTCCATGCAAAGCTGGCCATGATAAAGGACAAAAACGGTAGGGACCTAACAGAAGCAGAAGAGATTAGGAAAAGATGGCAAGAATACACAGAAGAACTATACAAGAAAGACCTCGATGTCCTTGACAACCACGACGGTATAATCACTGACCTCGAGCCAGACATCCTGGAATGTGAAGTTAAATGGGCCTTAGAAAGCATTGCTAACAACAAAGCTAGTGGAGGTGATGGTATCCCAGCTGAGCTATTCAAAGTCTTAGAAGAGGATGCTGTTAAAGTTCTGCACTCCATTTGCCAGCAAATTTGGAAAACGCAACAGTGGCCACAGGATTGGAAAAGATCAGTATACATTCCAATCCCAAAGAAGGGCAATGCCAAGGAATGTTCAAACTATCGCACAATTGCACTCATATCACACGCTAGCAAGGTCATGCTCAAGATCCTACAAGCTAGGCTTCAACAGTACGTGGATAGAGAACTACCAGAAGTACAAGCTGGGTTTCGAAGAGGTAGAGGAACGAGAGATCATATTGCCAACATTCGCTGGATTATGGAGAAAGCAAGAGAGTACCAGAAAAATATCTACTTCTGCTTCATTGACTATGCTAAAGCCTTTGACTGTGTGGATCACAACAAACTATGGCAGGTCCTTAAAGAGATGGGAGTACCAGACCACCTCACATGTCTCTTGAGAAACCTGTATAAGGGCCAAGAAGCGACAGTTAGAACCGGATACGGAACAACTGATTGGTTCAGCATAGGAAAAGGAGTACGACAAGGATGTATACTGTCACCTTGCTTATTTAATATATATGCAGAGTACATCATGCGAAATGCTGGCCTGGATGAATCACAAGCGGGAATTAAGATTGCTGGGGAAAAGATCAACAACCTCAGATATGCAGATGATACCACTCTAATGGCTGAAAGTGAAAAGGATCTAAAGAGCCTCTTGCTCAGAGTAAAAGAGGAGAGCGCAAAAGTGGGCTTGAAGCTCAACATCAAAAAAACTAAGATCATGGCATCCGGCCCCATCACTCCTTGGCAAATAGAAGGGGAAGTCGTGGAAGTAGTGACAGACTTCACGTTCCTGGGATCCCAGATCACCGCAGACTGTGACTGCAGCCATGAAATTAAAAGACGCCTGCTCCTTGGGAGGAAAGCGATGGCGAACCTAAACAGCATGATAAAAAGTAGAGACATCACCCTGCCAACAAAAGTCCGCATGGTCAAAGCAATGGTATTCCCAGTAGTCATGTATGGCTGCGAGAGCTGGACTATAAGGAAGGCCGAGCGCCGAAGAATAGATTCTTTTGAACTATGGTGCTGGAGAAGACTCTTGAGAGTCCCTTGGACTGCAAGAAGAACAAATCAGTCAATCCTCAAAGAAATCAACCCTGACTGTTCCCTGGAAGGCCAGATAATGAAACTGAAGCTCAAATACTTTGGCCACCAAATGAGAAGGGAGCACTCACTGGAGAAGACCCTGATGCTGGGAAAGATTGAAGGTCAAAGAAGACGGGGACGGCAAAGGATGAGATGGTTAGGCAGTGTCATAGATGCAACGAACATGAAGTTGAGAAAACGTCAGAGGACGGCGGAAGACCGGAAGGCCTGGTGTGATTTGGTCCATGGGGTCGCAAAGAAAACAACAACAAAAATATCTCTTCTACACTGTAATATTTACAGAGCACTTTTATCCATGAACCAGCCCACCTAGGGGATGATGCATGGGCAATAAATGCCTTTTGGTGGTTTCTACAGGAGGATGTGGTCCATGGGGTCATGAAGAGTTGGACTTGACTGTGCAACTGAACAACAACAACAGGAGGAGGATTGTTCATATTTAATTTGCTCTAATTATCCACAAAAAGGCCATAAACAGGCTGTTTTCTAAGGTCCACTTTCACACATAGCTGTTTTTCTACTCAAATATCACTTCTATGTAGGAAAAGGCTATACCTTTTTGTGTGGACACTTTCACATGTATGCATCAAAACCGATATGGGTATGTAACATTCCTACAAGTGTTGGCCTCGTTTGCAACTGTAGTCCCAACCTACTGTAGTACAGCTAGCAAAAGGCTCCAGGGAACACAGAGATCCTTGCAAAACCAGGTTAACGAGTGTCAGCAGTTATCATACTAGATAAGACATTAGCTCAGGAACAGCCAGGCATGGAACACAAAAAGTCACTACGAAAAACAAAGTCTGTAACAAATAAGGATGTTTCACTTGAGCTTTAACTGTCTGCAAACCACCGCAAGCATGTGCAGAAATGCACAGCAATCGGTGGTTATGAACCACGGGGGATATTTTGCACAATCAACAAGCTGAACTGAGGAGATTCGAAAGATAAAGTTTACAGTCATGGCTGCCCATGCCTAAACTGAAACTACACTGCACGCTTGTAAAGAGCTGAGTAGAGGAATTCGAGAACCCTCGTCTCCCCAGATGAAGCCCTGCCCTTGCTCTTGAAATGAAGACTGAATAATGTTTGCCTCCTCTTCTCCTTAGGAGTGTTGATTGGAGAGAATAAGTGAAGTAAGGGACCAAGCAAAGGCGGGCAAAGTAATTAAGCACAAAAATGGGCTTAATCCAGCAATGCCGTAGCCTATTATACAGTTTATTTGAACTCGGATTTATCCAAAGGCAGCTGTGTATTTTGCACTATAAAAATAGTAATGCACAATGTTGAGCCTCTCCAGATGGCTCTTTGTGTCTGCATAAGAGAAAACACACACCACCTTGCTTCCTGGTAAATGGAAACATGCTACTATTTATTGAAGGATGAGAGGAGGAAGCCATCCAAGGAAAATACACACCCCTAGAGCATTTTAATACACATCTGAAATCTGAATTTATGACTATTTATTCAAAACACATTAACTTCCCTTCTCTGTTTGCGTGACAAGGCCTATAACAATTAGAACCATTTAAAAATTAATTTGGTTAAGAAATGTCACACACAGTTTGCAGATGGAGCAGCAGAGTTTCAGGAATCAGCCAACATACAGGATGTCCCTAAAATGACAGCAACCACACTTACAGCCAAAAGGTGTCAAAAAACAGACTTTTCCTGAAGGTCAGGAGAGTCAGAGTAGAAGTCTGTTTGGAAGGTACAAAGCAGAAGCCTGGACGAGAAAGGCCTTGCTTGCACTTCGCCTCAGTTGTCTTAACTTCCCATAATAAGTGCACAGCAGCACAAAGTTTGAACCTAAATGCAAACAAGCCATTCTGTCAGCCTGTATGATTTTTTAAAACAATGATAAGTGCGAGCATTAAGGATTCAGTATTGAACAAATGTTTAACTGACTAGGTAATTAAACTTTGCAAATGAAGATGAGGTTTCTGCAAATACCTTTTTACCTTTTGCTAAATATGCTGCTCATTGGCTGATAAAAGTTACAAAGTACACAAATATATATTTTTAAAAAACAAAATACACACATGTAATAATTTACCTGTGGATGGTAGACACTGAGTGATTTCACTTTGTGCAAAGGTAATAACACCTTCAGAAGGAAGATTTTGTGCTCTTCTTTCAATGGTAAGGCAAATCCATTAATTATACTGTGGGGGGGGAAATTAGGAATTCAGGCTTTATTAACGAATATTTATCACATTTTCAACTTTAATTTATTTTATTTATTCCCAGCTGTGTTTCCATACACATTCCAATGGAAATTTGTCTAATAACTATAGTCTAAATACTTACTAAAAGCAAATGCTAAAAAGTTTAGAGAGACTCTTTACCCAGAGACTTGCCTTGATCTTAAAGTATAGGCTCATGTTTGTATTTATACTTTTGTAATTATTATTTCCTGTAGCTATAATTCAATTAAGCTGTACAGAATGATTTCTTTCAATTCAAAACTCATTCTCATCTGAATGAAAGTTGTTCTGTTTTAACGCTCAAAGAGCAGCATTATAATGTATAGCTATAATGCAGCTTACCTTCCCAATATTTCCAGTAATTCTGCTATGCCATTGTGATGTTCTGTTTCATAAATAAACCTGACAAAGCAAATAGGTTATGAGCAAGGAGGCCTGATGGAATTATTCATATCTACCTGATGACATACGTGGTTCACATTTTCTACAAAAATCTGAGATATAACAATCATTTGAGATATTGCTGAAAACATTGTTTTCATTTCCAACATTCTTACTTTCTACCCAGCTTTTAGGATGCTGTCCCCCAATTTGGTAAGCCTCAGCCTTGAATGAGCACCCTGAACTGGATCCAGATTTAAAAAAATGTAAATGGGGGATAATATGGATAATATGCTCTCTACAGCTCATTCTATTTAAAATGGGTCACAGAATTCAGTATAACCTGGAACAACTTCTTCAAGGGTAGATCCCTAAGCAAGCACAGCATTCCAGTGTGTGTTGAGGAGGGGATGTTATCAAACAGATGGTGGTATTAAAAGAATACAAGTGGCCAATCAGAGATGCTATTTTTAAAACACTATACACCAGCCACCATCCTTATCTGTCCTGTTGCAAGTCTGACATAATAAGTTTAAGAACATAAAAAGAGCTGTGCTGGATCAGACCAGTGGGCCATCTAGTCCAGCATCCTGTCTCACACAGTGGCCAGCTACTTCCTCTGGATGGCCAACAACAGGGCATAGAGATTGAGGGCCTCCCCTGATGCTGCATCCTGGCTCTGGGATTCAGAGATTGACTGCCTCTGAATGTGGAAGTTCCTCTCAGTCACCATGGCTAGTGCCACTGATATCTATCCAGCTGTAGCCATGAATCTGTCTAATCCCCTTTTATAGCGGTCCATGCCTGTGGCCATCACTACATCCTCTGGCACTGAATTCCACATTTTAATCATTGCTTGTGAAAGAAGTACTTCCTTTTGTCTGTCCTGAATCTACTGCCAATTGGCTTCATTGGATGCCCTCAAGTTCAAGTATTTTGGGAGACTGAGAATAAATTCTCTTTGTCAGCTCTCTCCACCCCATGCATAATTTTATAAACCTCTATCATGTCCCCCCAGTCTTTTCTAGACTCAAAGCCCCAGACTCTTCAGCCACTCCTCATAGGGAAGGTGCTCCAAACCCCAACCACCTTGGTTGCCCTATAGATCTATACAGTGGCACTGTCGGCTGTAATATCCCTTTACTAATAATCCCTAACACAGAGTTTGCCTTTTTAACTTCTGCAGCACACTGGGTTGACACTTTCATTGAGCTGTCCACCAATGTTCCCTCTAAGCCGTGGAGTCTTGTGAGCAAAAATTCTACTTTGTGAGCTACTGGCATTAACGTTGTGAGTAAGCAATTTGGCTACTACATAAATTAGTTTCCTCTAGAGCCATCCTTCCTGAGCTGAGACAAAAATGTGTGAGCTGGAGGCTAAAAAAGGGTGAGCTAGCTCACACTAAATCAGCTTAGAGGGAACACTGCTGTCCACTATGACCTCAAAAACACTGGCACTTGTTTGAGCCCCTTGCATCTTTTGACCATGAGCTTTTCAGATCTCTTTGTATACCTGAAAGCGCCAGACATTTTTTGCAGACAACAGATCCTGGAACGTCCAATATGCTTTCTAAATCAGGATAATGAGAATGCATGACTATGCTGAAATATCAAAATTAAATCCTATTCTATCTAAGTATGGATATTACTGCCGTGACATTGTGCACACCAGTCTTAATCACAGCCTCCCTGTCGGGATATTTTTAGGTCTGCCATCTCATATCTCTATTGACATTATTATCCTGAGAAAACACACACACTCATCTACAACATTAACGTTGGCAGAGAATAGCCAAAACCTGCTGCATGCAAAAAGCTGGTGCTTTTGCTATTTTTAGACAGCATCCCCCCCAAAACACATATTTCTTACTATTTGTATGCCAGATAAGCTCTCTCTACAGTTGATGCCTTTGTCTTTTATGGATGAACTGGCAAAAAGCTGCATTGTAATTGGCATTATACTCTTTAAGGGACAGTACCATATGTTCTCTTTAGGGAAAACAGCACAAGGCAAAAAAAAAAAAGTAGAAAGATGAGCTAAAAGCAGGCAGTGTCAATATAGCTCAATATGCCTAGAGGGAAGAAGGGGGGGGGGGGGAGGCAAGCAAGCATGTGGCTTTTAAAGCCTTTATTTTCTTTCAACCTGATTTCTATACTAGCAGTATACCGAGATATCAAATAAAAAGATAAAGGTCCACATATCATCTGTTTGTAAGGTTATATATCACCACCTGCGATTGCATGACTGTACGAAGAAACAATTTTTTTAAAAAATCTGCATATCAAAAAGCTGTCATATGGGACTAGGAAAAGTTCTTTGGTTAAATACAACAGAACTACAACCTTAAAGATGTCAAATATCATGGTTTGCTCTATGGAAATCAACACAGGACAAAAGCTGCCCTCACACAAGAAGTGGATGAATTCAAATTCTGTGCCCAGATCTTCTAACATGCTTCTTCCCTCCTCTAGTATGGTCTTACTTGTGCAGCTTAAAATTATGTTACCGAAGTTACAAAACAAAGCTGACTTGCAAGTTTTGCAGTGGAGCACCTTCAAGAACAACAAAACACACCTCTCAGTAATTTCAAGATAGAAGAGTTTTAAAACACCTTTCTGATTAAAATGCATCAGCACAGAATGACAACGTACCTATAAAATATATTGTTAATTTGCTTCCTGATGTAAGCTCTTAGGCCTAAGAATTTCCCATATATTCTGTGCAGAGTAGTCTTAAGAAAGTCTCTCTCTCGGGGATCTTCACTATCAAAGAGCTCTAAAAGCTGCAAGAGACATATATTTACTTGTTTAAACGATTTCACATTAATCTGGATTGAAAGTTTGAAGATATATTCATTTTTTTAACCTCACCTGCAATACAAACTTCTGATCAATATATTTCTTAGCTATATTAGGCTGGAAATCTGGAGATTCTAAAAACCTTAAGAAAAATTCATAAACAAGCTGGAAAAAAAATCCACAAAACACAAGATTAGTTTTTAAAAACCAGAAATTGCAAATTTGATTTTTTTAAAAAAAGCAGTTAAATAGTACTCAGTTTTAAACAGCTTTTATAGCAAAATTCAATCCTATTTTGAAGATACTGTTTGCATCATTTACTTCGGACTTCTAAATGCGTTCTCTTAAACTGTTCATTCCTATGGACACTTACACAATCCACCCAGAACTTTTCCTGCTCAAGCTGCTCTGAAACAAAGAGGTGGTGTAAAGCTCCCACTCATTGCAATGGGGCGTGAGGATAAGTTCCCAGCAGCTTGTGCCCTAAATTTCCAAATTCAGCAGGTTTGTTATAACATATGAACTCAAAAAAGGACCTTAGATTCTGAGCTAGCACAAACATGACAGATTTCTCTTAAGTGCAGCTCAAAGTTCAGGAACTAGAGGTGGGAAAGCCTCCCTACCTAGTTAGGGTATACATTGATTTCAAATGTTACTGCATTTAATGCTAACCAGGTTCTACAATATTTGGAGCCAGTTCCTGGTTAAGAGGAGACTTGTGAACTGAGATTGGGGGCAATACATCCCTTCACAGCAATTAGGGTGGGAGAAGTGGATTTATTCCAAAGAGGAGCTACAGAGACAGACTGCAGGATTCAGATTCTCGCTGCATTTAAGAGACTGAGACAAGTTACATCCGTGAGATGCTGATATCAGTATCTGTCTAGTCACAGGAACTATTTTAATGTCTGTCTCTAGATTGAAACGGTTTGTATGATGCAGGGAGAGGTAAAGCGAGGCCCACCAGCTGCCATACAGGAAACCACGCAGGTTGCTCACTCCGAGACAAAAGGGCATGTGTGCAGTTCTGCAGATGCATGCAGCCCACAAGCATCATATCATCCACCCTGACCTGGATGCTGATGCTGTACCACAGTCATTTAATATGAAGACACTGAATTTATATATACCTGCTTTCTGTTTACACAGAAGCATCATTTATCAAAGGGATAGTGCTAGTCGGACAAAAAAAGGGTAATAGCAACAAACACCAACACGTTAATATTTTTCTATGGTTAGTAAAAAAAAATGCATCGAGATCAGCTTACAATGAACAGCAGACTCACCCCCCTAGCAAGCAAGCTGCATTATCCCATCCCAAGCAAAACGTTGAAGGGATGGGTCACCCGTTAAGACACTGAAATAGTAAAAGCGAGTACGACTTGTGTGTTCTGATTTCAGCTTATTGTCTTTTATTTTGCAGCAACTTTAGCCACTCAATGTTTAATCAGAAGAAAAGAAATTATGTCTCCGTAGTACCTGTAAATGAGGCCATGCGGCTTCTAAGGTTGGTTCATCCTCCTCTGGGTCAAATTCTGCTCCCGTTGGATTAGATGAAGGTGGTAATGTGCGAAACATATTAACTGCAAACTAAAAATCAAACATGCCAAAGTCTTGATACAGAAAAGGAACAATTTTAATACACATTTCAGTGATACTCAATGGATCAGGAGCCACACATGGCTCTTTGATCTTTGACATGTCACCTGTGGCTCTTCAGGGCACCATCCCCCAATATGGCACCTGCGCCATGTTTCAGGAAAGGGGGCAAGGGCCCTTTCCCTGTGATGCTTGCCGTTAGATTAATCCCCCTAAAGATAGCCACTGCCAGAGGAACCCAGGTAATCCTCCCTCAGGTGTAGGCCTCATGGCAGGGAAGAAAGTAAATGTGGCTATTTTGGTTGATGGTAGTTGCAAATGGGGCTCTCTGTGAGACATGGAGTGAGTAGCACTGACTTATTTGCATGAAGCCTTCATACAGGAATCTGCGTGAACCTAAAATTATTTTAAATTAAGTGTAATATCTGCTGTTGAGATTTTTTTTCTCTGCATGTTTCAGCTTCATGCTTTTGCCTCAAGCTATGTTCTCTTTGCTATAAGAGAACTTTTGTGAAGTGTATCTTAATAAAGGAAAAACAAGGCAGGGAGATTTCAGCAGGTTTTTCTAAGGGAGCGATCTGGCACAGTCCTTATTTCTCTCAAATTCTCATTTGCATTATCACTTTGTTGACCGTCAGGTATTCTTATGCTGACCAGACTGGCCACCACTCAGAAGTCCTGGCTTTAAATCACAGCTCAGACATGAACTTGCTGGGTAACATTAGGCAAGCCAATGTCTCTCAGTCAGCATCTGTTTGCAAAGACTGCCCATTTTACAGGGCTGTTTCAAAAATTAATGTATAAGAAGCACTTCAATCAATTAGGAAAAGTGTTTTGAAAAATATATATATATTTAACTTCCACTGCATTCAGAAGATGAGCAGAACAGCACTGTGATCTTTTGGTGGCATCTCTTTCTAATGCTACAGTTCAAGGTTAAACCAGGATGTGCATTAACTATTAAGGGATCTTGACCATGGACCGTTATAAACACAGAACACAACTGGTGAACCATAGGGATATTCATAAAAAAATTAAAATAAAAGTAAAACTTGCTAGACTGAAGCCAGCCCACCAATGAGGCACAGGTTCATGTTGTTATCATGGTGTGGTTTTACTACATTTGTTATAACAACAACCCTCAAGGTGTAAAATACTTCAGGAAGCCAAGTCATTCCTGTAATTCTTAAGTACTAATAATATATGCCATTGAAAAAGTTATGTTCTGTAGCACAGAAGAAAGTGTGAAGAAAACCCTTTAGTAAAAATCTTACTCAAGCAAAACTGCTTTAAGTCTGAGAATTTTTTTAGAATAATTTCATTTAAATTACTTACCATGTGTACTACTTCTGGGTAAATAGGCTCTGTGATCACATTGCGATTATGCGTGATATATTCTACCATTTCACTTAAAGCTGCTCGTTTTACTTCCTTCCACTTTAGGTCACTTAGTGGATCAGACACAAAGTCAAAAAGGACACAACATTGTCGCAACTTCTGAATAAAGAGCTTTTCTTGCTCTGCAGGGGGAACATCTGAAAAGAGCAGAAATATTTTGTTGTTATATGTTTATACACTGCTGTCAATATTGTGGAAAGCGACAGTACTATGTAAGTGCAGAAGCTTTTTCTGAGGGAGAAGGGGGGGGAGAAATCTAAAAGGAAAAAAGCAAAATTGTATTGGCTGAGAAAAAAATATCTATGGTGCAGTCTCATTTTGAATACTGTGTACAGTTTTTGCTCAACCTACCACAAAAAAGATATTATAGCATTGGAAAAGGTGCAGAAAAGGGCAACTAAAATGATTAAGGGGATGGAGCACTTTCCCTATGAAGAAAGGTTAAAGAGGTTAGAGCTTTTTAGCTTGGAGAAACGATGATTGAGGGGTGACATGATAGAGGTTTACAAAATTATGCATGGGATAGAGAAGGTAGAGAAAGAAGTACTTTTCTCCCTCTCTCACAGTGCAAGAACTCATGGGCACTCAGTGAAATTAAGGGGCATTAGACTTAGAACAGATAAAAGGAAGTACTTCTTCACCCACAGCGTAATTAACACATGGAATTCACTGCCACAGGAAGTGGTGGAGGCTACAAGCATGAGTGGCTATTAGCCACAAGGTATAGATGAGATGGAACACTGTCTGGTGCAGTGATGCTCTGTATTCTTGGTGCTTGGAGGGCAAGAGTGAGAGGGCTTCTGGAGTTCTGGCCCTGCTGGGGGACCTCCTGATGGCACCTGGGTTTTGGCCACTGTGTGACATAGTGTATTGGACTAGATGGGCCACTGGCCTGATCCAACATGGCTTTTCTTTATGTTCTTAAAATGTTGTACTTCAGCTTCTGGTGATGCATGTTCTTCCTCTATTTTTTGAATATCTGCATACATACACAGTTAAGGATACATCTGCTCATCAATCTCCAATGTTGACATATTTCCTTCACTATGTTCCCGATAGTTAAACCAAAACAAATGGTAAACTAAGCTTGTTATTCCTGTTTAGTCTTTGCATCTGTAAAATATCTTCATTATGCTGTATGCTAATTTGCTGCCCACCCTATTCCTATATGTCTGGACTGGTAACTTCCATTTCATTGTATTTGAAGAAGCATGCATGCACACAAAAGCTATATCTTGAATAAAACTTAGTTGGTCTTAAAAGGGGCCACTGGACTCAAACTTTGATCTGCATACATCCTGTTCCTTGTTATATAATCCCTACACTGTAAATTTTGTTGGTAAACAAAAATATTGAACTCAGAATATCAAAAAATATTTAGTCCTTTGGATATAGTATGAGGTTGGAATTCTGGCAGAATTAAAACAGAGTATTTCCACAGTACCTATAAATGTGACAGATCTGTAGGCTGAAATTCCCAGACTACCACCCACCCGCCCCCTTTTTCTCTTCCTCTCAACAGGACAATTCTACACCTCTCCCTTAAAAGGGGACAAAATATATTGAGAAGATATTTACATACCATGCAGAAAGTTTATATACAACTCCAAGGGAATGCTGACTTTCAAAAGCTTACAGTCCAAAAATCTTGTTTGTGTGTAAAGTGCTACTGAACTTAAATCTAGCTGTTCTACTACCAACCAATATGGCTATGTTCCCTCTAAGTTATGGAGTCTTGTGAGCACACATTCTACTTTGTGAGCTACTGGCATTAAAGTTGTGAGCGAGCGATTTGGCTGCTGCATAAATTAGTTTGCTCTGGAGCCATCCTTCCTGAGCTAAGACAGAAATGTGTGAGCCAGAGGCTAAAAAACTGTGAGCTAGCTCACACTAACTCAGCTTAGAGGGAACACTGGCTACCATCTGAAGCTATCAAGTTACTCCAATCTGAAAATGGGAAGTGTACACATCTTGGTCAAAACCTGTGAGGAACATTATCACCATAAGCGAGGATAATATCTCAGCACAGAGCAAGTACAACTACATATGTTTCTCCCTCAGACTTGAATCAGACCCAGAGGTTATTTCGGGGGAGATTGCGGGGATCGCAGTTCCCCCAGGTGAGGTACGGGGGCGGGGCACATGACGAAGCCCTGCCCCCTGCTTCCGGCCCTCATTCAGCCAGGAGGAGGCAGGAGAAGAGGGAGGGTAAGTTGCTTCCTCCCTGCCTCTCCCCACCCCTGCCTGCCTGGGGCCAGGGAGGGCCTTCGCGGGGCTTCCTTGCACCCCCGCCGGCCTTGCAGGTCCACCGCCAGGCCCCTGATGGGGCTCGGCAGTGGAGCTGCAAGGCCGGCAGCAGCCGGGACCGTTGGGGGCGGGGTGTGTGGCCTTATGACACACTTCCGGTGATGCCAGGGGGTGGGGCATATGCTAATGAGTTATGCTAATGAGTTCCCCTAGCTCTTTTTCTACGAAACAACCCCTGATCAGACCAGATCTACTTGTGTAGCAGAATGAGATGGAAATGGAGTAAAGCCCTGATGCAGTATGCAATGGAAGTGTGTATGTCTCCATGTAGGGTAAATTACACATTTGAATCTCTCCTCTATAAATATCTTCTTGATAGTGGAAAGCTAGCACAATAGACAGACGGAAGGATTAGAATAGTTGTCTCTTACATGCTATTTCCTTCTCTTGCAAGAGTTCTTTTTTTTAATGTGGGGAAGTATTCAAAAATGGTATCACCCGCATGTAATCTGAAACTGTACATACAGCCCACAATCAACTGAGAGCTTTAGCCTGGGGAATGAATGCCTATTTATGCTAGTGGAATGTGAACTTTATTTACTAATGTAGATATAACAGATTAAGGCAATGATGTATCTATAAACTGAGAAAATAATACCAAACATATAATGAATTTTGAGCGTTAACAGTTGTTGGCTCCACAGTTACTACTTTTCAATTAGATGCAGATACTGAGAAGGGGAGTAAATTACTTGATCAATGGTAGAGTGCTTTTAGTGATAATCAGAGTAACTGGCTGTGGACATGCAGTCTTCAAAAGTCCCGCTAAGCTGAGTTACTGTGAGCTAGTTTACAGTTTTTTTAGCCTTTGGCTCACATTTTTGTCTTAGCTCAGGAAGAATGGCTCCAGAGCAAACTAATTTCTGTAGTAGGGCAAATCGCTCGCTCATAACCTTAATGCCAGTAGCTCACCAAGTAGAATTTTTGCTCACAAGACTCCACAGCTTAGAGGGAGCATTGGTCTTGAGGTAGTATAAACATTAGTGTTAAACTGGTTAAGGATATGCTGGCACTACTAACATTACAACTGTTTATTAAGGGTCACAGGATGAGGATTACCTTGGCCTTCCCATACCTGGCCATAAAGTGCTAATAAACTATACTGGATTTCAAAAATGTTCAGACTTTTATCATTGGATTCTTTGGCTAAGTATTTTTTTTCTGGCCCTGGAAACAGGCGATCTTCTCCAAATTCCATTCGAAATGTAGCTGCTAGCTGTCTCCTAGAGCTCTGAAACATTTTTAACATTGTCTGCCCAAGACACCATGGAATTGCACAGAAGGAAACTCCATTCATCTAGTACATACCACAATTTACTTATTTAAAGCCTGTGCAACTTGCCACCTATATTTTACTCAGAAAATCCCTGAGCTGGTACACTGCCAGAAAACTATGGTGAGGGTAGACATGGCAGCCTAAAATATGAACTGTTTAATATGACTAAAATTAAGTTTTAGAGTAAACAAAATAGACAAGTGCACAAGAGCTTGCTGTTATTCTAAGAGCTTTAATCTTGTATCTGTAAACTGCCTTAAATTCCTGGAAAGCTGGGGTATAATTACAAAAAATAAGAAAATGGATCTAGAATACATTATCAACTAGCTAAAAGTCCAAGTTTAGCAGGCATGGAGGAGGCTAGAGTGGGGCTGTGACTTAGTGACAGAGGATCTGCTTGGTATGCAGAAGGTCCAGGTTCAATCCCTGGCATCCTCTCTTTAAAAAGAATAAGAAAGTAGGTGATGTGAAAAACCTCCACTTTAGAGCCTAACTACATGTTATGAGCTACACAACTTCGCCATGGAGGCTTGCAGCCATACTGTAGTTGTGAATTCCCACTAGCAACTCATAAGGAAACCTGCAGCAGGGCCTGATTTGGACTGGGACTTTTGTGCTGATTCTCCATGTCAAGATCAGCCTCAAGGGTTTGATCAGGTGAGTGACAGTACACCCCCACTTTTCAGTAAGCCTTCAGGTCCTTGGACTGCAAGGAGATCAAATCAGTCAATCCTAAAGGAAATCAACCCTGACTGTTCCCTGGAAGGCCAGATATTAAAGCTGAAGCTCAAACACTTTGGCCACCACTTGAGAAGGGAGCACTAACTGGAGAAGACCCTGATGCTGGGAAAGATTGAAGGTCAAAGAAGAAGGGGACGGCAAAGGATGAGATGGTTAGATTGTGTTATTGATGCAACGAATATGAAATTGGGCAAACTCCGGAGGACAGCGGAAAACAGGAGGGCCTGGTATGATGTGGTCCATGGGGTTGCAAAGAGTCGGACTTGTCTGTGCCATTGAACAACAACAACAACAAAGCTTCCGTAGGGGAGTTACTTCTCCTGTTTTCTAACTTATTTGATTCTATGCCCTCCTATCCCTTTATGCCCTGCTGTAGTACTTATACCCAGGGATGACTGTATCCCATAGATGTTCCCCATTCCACCATGTTTCCGAGACACCTACTTATGGTAATCTCGCCCTCTTCCCTCCCTCCCTCACAGGAATTTCCCCTTTTCTTCTTCTTCTTCCTTTCTTGCTGACTGGACCCTATATCTATTTTCTTATTATTAGCTGGTCTATGGCTGCCCTACCCTGCCACCCTCTGACCTAGCCACAGTGTTCAATGCAATGGTCACCTCCAGGCTGGATTACTGTAACTCGCCCTTTGAGGTTGATCTGAAAAATGCAACTGGTCCAGATAGAATGCAGCTGCAAGGGTGTTGACAGGAACACCCTTCAGAGCACATATCCACCCGATGTTTTATCAGCTGCATTGGCTCCAGATTGAGGACCAGATGAAGTTCAAGGCCCTTAATGGTCAGGGACCAGCAT